AATTACTTCACTTCTCTGAGCCTCAGTTTCTCCACTGTAATGGGGGATCTCGGTACCTTCTTTACAGGTTGGTTGGTTGGTTTTTCCCGTTGATAATTAAAAAGGGGTCAGCCTTTATGTGGTAAAATTTAAATGCTTGTTAAACCTGAATCTTTAATAAAGGTGAACAAAGGCACCTTTCGAGATCTATTACATTTCTTCTGTCATTATACCCAAGAGCTGCTTTTAATTCAAGCCATTATAATACTCAGGCTGATTTGCTCCCTCCCAGTGATGCGTCCCTCATCCCTTCACAGACAGAAATTTCCCGGGGCCTTCAAATGGACACACTACAAATTAACTGTGTGAAGACAAGTTAATCAGTCCCAACCAAGAGACATGGGTGCCTTGAATTGCAGAGTGGTAGATGCCATACAATGTGTATTTGTCATTGGAAATGAGCCAACATAGCCTCTGTGTATTGGCCCATAAATGGTTTATTTCTTCACTGCAGACAGAGACCCATTAGCTGAAAAGCCTGCGGGTGACAAACTCAAATTTCTACACATCCAATTATTTGTAAAACCGCCCAAACAAGCAGATTTTTAGCCATTGAGAGCCTACCCGCTTTGCATACCAAATCTCAACCAACAGCTGTTACCCATTGATAAGATAAGGCCTTGTAGTTATAAGGCCCAGAGTCACTCTGCTGTCCCTCAGAGCTCCCTGACCCAGGGACTCTCACTGTCTGCTGAGTGACATCACCTAAACTTGTGAGGGACCCAGGAGGTCCCTTGTTCTCCTCCCACTGTGGATGGTGGTCCCCAAGGCTCCTCCCCCAAGACAGTGTCATGCTATGAGGGGCTTCCCTTCTCATGCACCTCTGTCCAATTGCCACCCAATATAGCTGTGTGTTACTGCCTCTCATGGTCACATATTTCCCTTAATCAATTCAAACCCCCTGAAACCCCCTACAGCATTCCATGGACAGCAGCAACACCTGGAGCTTACTAGAAATGAAGCAAGTTTGGGCCCCGCCCTAAGACCTACTGAACCGAACTGTGGGCATTAACAAGTGCACCACAGTGGTACACAGTGCAGCAGGAGGTCCGTATGTACACTGCAGTTGGAGACGTGCTGGCTAAGAGACTTCCACTGGGGATCAGTGTGGTAGCCAATCTCAATGCACTAACGGGATTTGTGTGATACAGACGTCTACACCCATTAGGACTGCTCTCAGCCCCTGTGAGTGTCCACTAATCCATTTCATTGACCCTTCCTAGCTTTTCTCAGAGTCTATGAAATAGGCAGGTGTGAAACTGCAGACTGCCAGTTTACACAGCGAATAGGCTCTTTATTGGAAACCCTTATGCGGTGGGCCCTGCACACACATGACCAGCTGTATGTACACACCCTTGCAGTGGGCATGCAGATATGACCAGTTCCCCTCACAACCACATGCACACAGGCATCCGCAACACATCCTGAGTGTCTATTCTGGGGATTGGGGGTCAAAAAAGAAATCTTTCGGATTCCACCAAATCAAATAAAATCGCCTCCTACAAAACACAGTGGGGTGCAGATGCTGAAAGGCACAGACAGGAGGAGCCAGGAACAAAAGAACCCCTGGCACACAGAGGCACATCATCTATTGGGTGATTCTGAAGGAGGCATGCCTCCTCCCAGGAGCATCAAGACTTGAGCCCCAGGGCACCCTGCGGGAGGGACCATCCCAATTATTACCCAGAAAAACCTGGGTGAGGCAAGTGCAGTTTGCTTGGGCTTCATATATCTGCATTTAGGAAGTTATACATGCTTACAAATTCTCTAAGTCTACTGCACCCATCTAGGACCTGGAAGTGGATAAAAACTGCTTTTCAGATAAAAGATGTCACTAAGTCCATGTCATAAACTTCACTAGTTTGGAGGAAAGTAGCTCTGGTCCTTATTCAGTACTTATTTACTCTTACTTTGTACACATCCTAAAAATCCATGAGATTTGATTTCTCAGTCCATAAACAACTATAAGTAACAATTTAGAAATTACCCAGAGTGGGTTAGGGTGAGGTTGTGGTAAGGAACTAGTAAAAGCAGCAGTTATAGCACCACTAGTACCAAGGAGTAAAGACGTGCCTAAGAACAGCTGGAAATGAAAAGTCACTAGAAACGATTATAAGTACTCATATAAACTCAAAAGCATCTGTGGTAAGGACACTGGGGAATGATACTATACAATCCAATATTTTCATAATAAATTCCTGTTCATCAGTAATCACAAGTCCCATTACATTTAATTATATTTAATATTTTCGGTTTAAGAAAGACATTATTACATTCACAAATATTTCTATAATCAGACAGGCTTATTTTTAAAAGTTAAGCTCTTGACACTTAGAGTTTAGGTTCAATTCTGCAGAAAATACATTAAAATGGAATAGCCCATCCTTCTACAAGAACAGGTAAGTGTAGCTTTACTAAATCAATTACATTCTGATTTGCCTGGCATTGAAGCATTTGGAAGTCTCTATTAATGGAGACCGCAGATTCAGAATATCAATTCAGCCAAAGTTAACTGGGCATCTGCAATGTGCCAAACACTGTATTGGGTGCTAAAAATACAAAGATCAAAAAGAAAGCTGACCCTTATCTCAAGGACATAGGAATTCTCAAATGCCTTCTGAATAATCAC